TAATTGGTCAGATTGGTGTTGGAATGAAAAGCCAAGACTCTTCTCTTAAATAGCAAACTGGAAGCAGTAATAGCAAACTAGGAATGTTGCCTGGATTTTAAATACTAAAATCTTTCCCAAATGACATATTTCTTCCAGCATGGCTACACTTGTTAAGCTTCCCAAAACAGCAACAAAACTGGGGACTGTAAGCCTTCATGTCAGAGCTTAGAGGGCACATATTCATTTAAACCATCAAAATCAGAATGTCAACTACTCAGAAACATTTAAAGAGAAAGTCCTTGTGTAGTTAGACACACTATGTTCGTCCATGCTCTGGATTTGTTACCTATAGAACAGGAGCATCTACCTCCTCTCACTTGTGATGCCAGTGAGAATATTTTAACTGTCAGGAGAAAATGGACAGAAGGAGGACTTGCCAAGGCACCTACAAAGGAATATTCAGAAGGAAGGAAGAATGAGTCAACTTGCTTGAACATCATCTATGTCATTTCTAATTCTAGCCATGAATGGCAAAGGACTATAATACTTAAGTGATTATAAATAAATTTAGTATATTTAACAACAATATGAAAGTATATAAATATAGTAATAAAACAGGATGTTTTTAGTTAATATATGAAGTGACATGAACAATTACCAATCACACACTCATTCCCAACATGTACCATCTTATAGAAATGAAATCACCCGTAAGACATTTCCCTATGATGCATTTTATGGTCTTTCTTCCACTGTCTCTGGCTTAAGTTTCTATAGTAACATTAAACTGATTGTGTCTGATTGTTTACTGTGTGAATGAAAACTGTGATAGCAAATTACATATAGCTTTTCACTTAGAAAAAGCAATAAATGTTTTCCATGCATCCCCAAAGGAGGCATTATTAAGAATAAGGATGTGGATCTAAATGGACATGGAGTACAATTTTCCTTAGAAAAGGAGGTTAAGAAGGAAAGTTTAGGGTTTCCTTATTCACAAAATAAAATGGCATGTTCAAAACAGTATCTATTTTATAGCATAGAGAAGAGGTTCAATGGGGGTAGCTATCTATTTTGATATCCTGAGATAATTATTTTGCATGTAGAAGATCAAAACTGGTGTTTAAAACCTGATCAAAGGCAATAACCCTTGTCTCAGTCTTTTTTTTAATTAATTTTTATTTAAATTTAAAACAACCTTATTATACATACAAATCCCAGTTCCATCTCCCTCCCATCCTCCCATTCCCCACACTTTCACCCAATTCCATCTCCATTTACTACATAGAATGCATGAGACCTCCCATAGGGAATCATCAAAGTCTGTCACATCATTTAGGACAGGTCGTAGGCCCTCCCCCAGGTATCTAGGCTAAGTGAGTAATAGGTTCCAAAAAGCCAGTTCATGAACTAGGGATAAATATTGGTTCAGTTCTTGTCATACTGGTCTATCACTTGTTTGGTTAGTTACCCCTTGATATTTTATGTTGTTTGTAGCTTTCGTGAAGGGTGATATTTCTCTGATTTCTTTCTCAGCTCCTGGTAGATTGTTTTGGGTCACTTATTTGAACTATTATATCATCTGCAAATAGTGAAAAGTTTGATTTTGTTTCCAATTTGTATACATTTGATCTCTTTTTTATGTCTTATTGCTCTAACTAGAACTTCAAGTTGAATATTGATGAGATATAGAGAGAATGGACAACCTTGTCTTGTTTTTGATTTTAGAGGAATTGCATTGAATTTCTCTCTATTTAGTTTGATGTTGGCTGTTGGCTTGCTGTATATTGCTTTCATATATTGCTCTCCAAGACCTTTATCATGAAGGCTTGTTAACAGGATATTTTTCAGTTTGCTTATATGGTGGATTACATTGATGGATTTTCATATATTGAACCATTCTTTCATCCCTGGGATGAAGCCTTCTTGACCATGTAGTATGGTTTTTCTGATGTTTTCTTGGATTCAATTTGCCAGTATTTTATTGAGTATTTTGCATCATTGTTCATGAGAGATATTTGCCTATAGTTCTCTTTCTTAGTTTTGATCTTTTTATGGTTTGGGTAACAAAGTAATTATAGGCTTGTAAAAAAGAGTTTGGCAATGACTCTTCTGCATCTATTTTGTGGAACACTTTGAGGAGTATTGGTATTAGCTGTTCTTTGAATTTCTGGTAGATGTCAGCACTGAAGCCATCCGGTCCGGAGCCTTTTTGTTTGGGAGACTTTTGATGACTGCTTTCATTTCATTAGGGATTATAGGTCTATTTAAATTGTTTATCTGTTCTTGATTTGTCCATTCCCTTTACATTTTCAAATTTTGTGTAGTACAGGTTTTCAAAGTATGACCTGAAGACGTTTTGAATTTCCTCAGTGTCAGTTGTTATGTCCCCCTTTTCATTTTTGAATTTGTTAATATACATATTCTCCCCCTGCCTTTTAGTGAGGTTGGAAAAAGTTTTGTCTATCTCGTTGATTTTCTGGAAGAACCAACTCTTTGTTACATTGATTATTTGTATTGTCTTTTCGTTTGTTGTTTGTTTCCACTTTATTGATTTCAGGTCTCAATTTGATTATTTTCTGGTGTCTACTCCTCCTGGGTGAGACTGCAGTTTTTGTTGTTGTTTTTGCTGTTCCGGAACTTTCAGGTGTGCTGATAAGTTTCTAGTGTAACTATTCTCCAGTTTCTTTATGTAGGCACTTAGTGGTATGAACTTTCCTCTTAGCAATGTTTTCAAAGTGTACATAAGTTTGGGTACTTTTTTGCCTTCATTTTCATTGAATTCTAGAAAGTCTTTAATTTCTTTATTTCTTCCTTGACTCAGAGGTGATATAAGGGAGCAGTGTTCAATTTCAAGGAGTTTGTAGTCTTTCTGAAATTTTTGTTGATGTTGAATTCTAACTGTTAACCATGATGATGCCATAACATAAACGGGGTTATTCAATTTCTTTTTTCATCTGTTGATGTTTGTTTTGTTGTGGAGTATGTGTTTGATTTAGAGAAGGCTCCATGTGGTACTGAAAAGAAGGTACATTCTTTTGAGTTGGTATGAGATGTGATGTTCTATAGCTCTTTGTTAAACCCAATTGAGTCATAACTTCTATTAGTTCTTCTATTCTTTTGTTAAGTTTCTGTCTGGTGGTCCTATCCAGTGGTGAGAGTGGGGTATTGAAATCTCCCATTATAAGAGTGGGAGGTTTTATGTGAGATTTAAGTTTTAGTAATTTTTCTTTTACGAATGTAAGTACCTTTGTATTTGGGGCATAGATGTTCAGAATTGAGACTTCCTCTAGATATATTTTTCTTGTGATAAATATAAAACGACCTTCATCATCTCTTTTGATTAATTTTAGTTTGAAGTCTAATATGTTAGATATGAGAATAGCTACACCAGCTTGTTTCTTAGGTCCATTTGATTGGAAAATCTTTTCCCAAGCCTTTACTCTGAGATAAGGTCTGACTTTGAAGTTGAGATATGTTTCTTCTATGGAGCAGAAGAATGAATTCTGTCTTCATATCCATTCTGTTTGCATGTGTCTTTTCATGAATTAAGACCATTGATATTAAGGGATATTAATGAACATTGATTGTATTTTCTTGTTAGTCTTGGATTTGTTGGTGGTATTGTGTGTGTGTTTCCCTTTTTTTTGGGCTTATGGTAATGAGGGATTATCTATTGTCTATATTTTTATGAGTGTAGCTAACCTCCTTGGGTTAGACATTTCCTTCCAGAACTTTTTGTAGGGCTGAATTGGTATTATTTAAATTTGTTTGTTTGTTTTTAATCTCCTAATTTCTCTGTCTATAGTAATTAAAATCTTTTCTGGGTATAGAAGTATGTTCATATAACTTCTATATCCAGGACCTTCTGGCTTTCAGAGTTTCCATTGAGAAATCAGGTATAATTCTGATAGGTCTGCCATCATATATTCCTTAGCTTAGCCTTTTTCCATTGTAGATCTTAATGGTCTTTCTTTATTCTTTATATTTGCTTTTTTGATTATTGTGTGGCAAGGGGACATTATTTATTTATATATTTGCCCCAGATTATTTGATGTTCTGTAATCTTCTTATGCTTTCTTAGGCATGCCCTTCTTTAGATTGTGAAAGTTTTCTTCTATGATTTTGGTGAGTATGTTTTCTGCTCCTTTGAGCTGGGCTTCTTCAACTTCTACTATACCTTTTATTCCTAGATTTTGTCTTTTTCACAGTGTCCCATATTTTCTGGATATTTTATGTTAAGAATTTTTGTTGGACTTAAGATTTTTTCTTTTTTCTTTTTCTCTCTCTCTCTCTCTTTTTTTTTTTTTTTTTTTTTTTTTTTGTTGTTGACAACCCTATTTCTTCTAGTTTATCTTCAGGACCTGAGGTTCTCTCTTCCTCCAAGCTTGTATTCTGTTGGTTGTACTTGCATCTGTAGTTCCTGATTATTTACCTAGATTTTCTATTTCTAGCATTCCCTCAGTTTGAGTTTTTTTTTTTTAATTACCTCTATTTCAATTTTCATGTCTTGAATTGTTTGAATTGTTTCTAACACCTGTTTGGTCTTTCCTTTTCCTTTTTCTTTTTTTTTTTTTTTTTTTTTTTTTTTTTTTTTTTTTTTTTCCCTTGCTTTCCTTGCTTTGTTTAAGAGATTGGTTAATATCTTGCATTTTTTATTTGTCTTTTTCTCCATTTTTTTTGTTTGTTTGTCTTTTCTTCCATTTCTTTAAAGGAGTTTTTCATTTCCTCTTTAAGGGCCTCTATCATCTTCATAAAGTTATTTTTAAGGCCATTTTCTCTGATTCATCTGTGCTGAGATGTACAATTCCTGCTGGTGTAGAACCCCTAGATACTTGGGTTGTCATAGTACTCTTTTTGTTGTTGAATTTGCTTTTATACTGTGGTCTACTCATCTCTTCCATCAGTGGTTACAGATGGAGCCTATAGTTCAAGGGATCACTTTTCCTCTATTTGGTGTAGGTAGGGCCTATGGCTTAGGTGGTTGATCTTCCTCTCGGGGATGGACCAAGGCTCCAATGATGGCAGATGGAGTGCTGAATGATTTGGGAATACCCCTAGGTCTCTGGATATTTATGGTGGGACTGAGCAAGGAGCCTGGTCAGTGGCATCCAAAGGGGGAGTCAGAAGTCCTAGTGCTCACCTCTCCTGGTAGAGGAGGGATCAAGGCTCTGATAGCAACAGGTGTAGCGTTGGATAGTTTGGGGCTGCCCTCAGGTCTCTGGGGATTCAGTGTATCTCAAAAGCCCTAATCTATCTAACCTCTAATCATGCTTGTGAAATGTTAAATAAACAACTTTTTTTTTTTCCATTTTGGCTTGTTTGCTCATTTTACTTACTTATTTAGATATTTTACATCCTTACTAACGTTTCCCCTTCCTCCTTTCCTTCCAGTCCTCCCCTCCACTCCTCTCTGAAGACCCCATCCACTACTCCTCTACTTCTATTCAGAAAAGGGCATAACTCAGATACTAGTAAAACAAGGTATATCAAATTCTCATAAGACTGAGCACTCCACCATGTATTAAGGCTGGACAAAGCACCTAGTATGAAAAAGGGTTGCAAAGACCAGCAAAGTAACTTTTTGTTTTGTTTTGTAATCTGATGATTTTTGTGAGAGCTCAGTACTTTCTGAGAGAGTTTCCTGGGAAGAAAAACACAAAGCTTCTCTCTTTGTTCCATTTTTATCTTGTGATGTGATGTGGGTATAACTTTTGTTATACTGAACATGGGAAGAAGTGTAAGAAAATAAGGATCAATTTATAGAAAGGTGTATTCTGAGACAGTTGAGCTACTCTGTTGCCCAGGGACTGGGATGGAGTGCCATGACATGATGACATGAATCTGAATCAATAGATTAGCAGAACAGCATGAAACAACTAGCCAGCTAGCTTATTAGAATAATGTCTACCATCATTGACAACAGCAAATCAACTACAGATTTGCCTTTTGATTTATTGTCAGTCTGGTGTGTTTGTTTGGTTATTCTTAAAATTCCTAGATCTGCAGAATTAGCAGAAAACTCATTACCACTGAATCTATGTGCTGGCCAGTGGTTTACAGCAAGTTTTAAATTTTTGTGTTCTATGACTTACTAAAATTAATTATTGAGACACAAATTGGAATACCATCATTTTATTACACCCAAAGGAAATAATATGTGTGGTTTTAATATTTGAATGAAAAATTAACTATTTAATAACTTTATTTTTATAAAACCTATTCCCACCCTACCATATACACATGCAAACACATACACATATCACTTCAACTGTAATGCTATATGTTGTAATATATTACTTATAGGAATCAAATTTGTGTTTTTAGTTCACAGAATTTATGAACATATGGCTGTTAAAATAAGGTCTTTGGATATATCTTGAGTAATGTTTTGTGAGAAGGCATTTTTAAAAAATAAAATGTGGTTTATTGTCTATTTTCTTCCTTAGATGTGGGCTCTGTTGAGGGCCTTGCCTATCACAGAGCCTGGGACACTCTTTACTGGACCAGCTCCAGCACGTCCTCCATCACCAGGCACACAGTAGATCAGACTCAGCCTGGAGCAATTGACAGAGAAGCAGTCATCACCATGTCAGAAGATGACCATCCTCATGTGCTTGCTTTAGATGAATGCCAAAAGTAAGAGGCTGAATGTATTATATCTGTATATATCTGTAAGAATAGACCCTGATACACACATTAAAGAAGTTAACTTTAAAGATAAAGATTCCCTTCAAATTACCTTCTATAAGCCTTTCTCAGTTTTTATGAGAACACTGTGTGAAGAACTAGAATGTGTATTATTTAAATGTTGTGTGTTAACATGGACAGAGGTTCGATTAAAAAAATGGTAGTATGAATGATGAAAGTGAAAATACAGAAAATTCGGTGTATAGAATGCATTGACTTATAAATACATAAAGAATTTACAAGTGTCTACTTATTCCTGAAAATAGTTTTTCTTTCATTTTAGCAGTAATTTTTATAACTATAGATATGCCTAAATGTTCAAAGAAAATAAACAAAACTGAAATAATTGCTGTATATATCTCTTTGAACTTTACTCATTTGCTAATAAATTGTTGAGATATTTAGATTAGAGCTTTTGAGGAACTTCCAAGGAGAGACTATGCCAGAAATAATTCAGAGAAAATAAAAATAAAACAAAGTGGAAAAACATGACAGAAGCAAATAAAGTCATAAAGTACATCATTACACAGAAAAGTGAAGTGCAAAGCAGTTAAGTAGAAATATCCCTGTCAATGTTCACTCCACTGTGGTATGGTAAAGATTTGAAGGAGAAAACCACATTTTATTCTCAAATGAGTAGTGAAAAAAATGAAATTAATGAATATTCATCCAATCTTTTTGTCAGATTAATTAGAATGTCATTATTCCACTTTCCTTTTTCTTTTTCATTTCCTCACTTTATTTCCTCCTGTATCCACTCCCTCCAACCCCTTTCATGACCACTGGTATCAAATTGATAGCTTTTTTTCCTTTGGGTGTTATGTTCACTTATTTCTCTCTGTATATGTATGCATGCAATTATAATATATACAATATAACAATATCATATATACAACATAGAGAATATAAATCCAACCTGATGAGTCTGTCTTTGTGCTATTGTTGTTGTTGTTCATTAATGTGTGTATAAGTGCCTGTGTATGTGGTTTCAGAGCTGACCACTTTGTATGGGATAACCAGTCAGGGAGCTCATCCCTGGGAGAGGCTAATTCTACCTTTCTATGGGAACATTAGTTGCTGGTATTTTTCCTCTTAGGGGTAGGACCCTGTGAGATATTTCTTCTCCCATGATAGCATGTCTATTGATATTATCATTGTTAATGTTTTGTTTATGCAGCCTTTTCTAAAGAGTCAATCTTACAGCCATGGACTTTCTGGCATACTGGCTCTTGTAATCTGTCTGTCCCTTCCTATGTTGCGATGCTTCAGCCTTCAACACAGAGGCTGTGCTGCTGATGTATTCACTGGGGCTGAGATCTCCACAATCCATTCATCTCTGCATTGTGTCCAGTTGTAGCTTTCTGTAATGACCTGCATTTGCTATAGAGAAAATCTTCTTTGATGAGAGGTTATTACATGTTTCTATTTATCTCTATGTGTTTCTACACACACACACACACACACACACACACACACAGTTGTTAAGGAATTGTGCTAATCTACCAAAGTGGTAGCAATACATGTTCTTTTTAGACTCATGACCTCACTAGTCTAATGAAATTAGCTATGTTTCTAGAACCAGGAATAATTTTCTTCCTGTTGAATGGGTATTCAGTCTCATCACATAGTTGCTGGATGCCACTGATGTGGAATGACACTATTGCACCTTTATTGATATCTTCATATGCTGGTCATTGTTATGGCTAATAGTTTCGTAGATAGACAGGACTACTAATTATTGGTTTTTCTTGGCAATTTGCACAGTTATTTCAGGCATAATGGAAGCTAGGAGAAAAGATGGAGGACTTCAGGTTAGACACAGATTGAGAATTCTGAAGTCTATATCCTAAGTGTGCAGTGGCTTTTCTAATAGGAACTTACCTTCCAAATCCAAGGGCACACAAGAGTGAGTACAAGAACTTATTGTTTTGGGAGTTATACAGACTATCCTGACCAAGTTGCCAAACTTTCGAAAAGATATTTTTCATGACTAGTATTGGGGATTTTGTTAGTACATAGTTATTGTTTTCCTAAGTGGCAATACTCTGTATACTTATAGATATATGTAAGTTAATATGATCTATCAACCAATTTTTATGTGGTCACTCCTTCCTCCTTCTGTACTGATGTCTCTTCTGCATCTGCAATTATGGGCTGCTTCCGCAGTTCTTCATTTCCACTTCCAGTCACCTGTATCCTGATATTCTCACACAGAATCCCCCTTCTCCCATAGTTCCTTTACATTTTCCTGGTTTCTGACAATGATGTGGTGTTGTGTAATCACTTGTAAGGAGCTAGCAACCACAGAGAACTGAGACCTGGGGAGGTTTGTCTCTCAATCTAAAGTCTGGGTTACTGTCAATCTAATACTTACTAGGTTAATCTATTTGAATTTAAATGTCATTTCACTTTAAATTTTTTTTTAAATTTAAATTTGAAACAAGCTTGTTTTACATGTTAAACCCAGTTCCTGCACCCTCCCATCCTTCCCTGTTCTCCCCACCAACCCCCATCTCATCCCTTTTCTGCACCCCAGGGAGGGTGAAGCCTTCCATGGGAAGTCTTCAAAGTCTGTCATATCATTTGGAGTAGGGTCCAGGCCCACCCCATTTTACCAAACTGAGGGAGTATCCCACTATGGGTAATGGGCTCCCAAAGTCCATTTGTATACCAGGGATAAATACTGATCCAATACCAGAGGCCCCACAGATTACCCAGTCCTCCCAACTAACACCACATTCAGTGAATCTGGGTCATTCTTATGCTAGTTTCCCAGCTATCAGAATGGAGTCCATGAGCTCCCCATTATTCAGGTCAGCAGTTTCTGTGGGTTTCTCCAGCCTGGTATTCACCTCGTTGCTCATTACTCCTCCCTTTCTGCAACTGGATTCCTAGAGTTTGACTCAATGTTTAGCTGTGGGTGTCTGCTTCTGCTTCCATCAACTACTGGATGAAGGCTCTAGGATGGCAATTAAGGTAGTCATCAATCTCATTATCAGAGAAGGGCATTTAAGGGAGCCTTTCCAATATTGCTAGATTGTTACTTGGGGTCATCCTTGTAGATTAGATCTCTGGACATTTTCCTATTGCCAGATAACCTATAAAGGCTCCCTCTATTATGGTATCTTTCTTGTTTTTTTTTCTCTTCTCTATTCTTTTCCTTTTAATAGTTGAGCAATTCTATATAGTGTATACGTACCACATTTTAATTATCCATCCATCTCTTGAATGATATTAAGGTTAAGGTTGCTTCCACTACTTAGCTATTGTGAATGGAACAGCAATGAACAAGGGTAAGCAAGCATGTGCAGAGTTGGAATTTGCTTCCTTTGCAGATATGCCAAGGAGTGATATAGGTGTCTGTGTGTATATTTATTTTTAGCATTTTGAGGATTGTTCACACTGATTTCCCAAAGAGATATACCAGTGTGCATTACCACCAACAGTAAATGAGTATTACTCTTTCTCAACCACCTCATTAGCACTTGCTGTCAGTAATTTTATTAGCCGTTCTGACTTGCTTGAGATGAAATCTCTGAGTTTCTTGAATTTACAGTTTTATAATTCATGAGAATGATGAACAGTTTTTAATTATCAGCCCATTTCTCACATGGCATTTTCTCCCTTGATGTTTTTTAGTTCAGTTTCTATTCTGGGTATTAGTCCTCTGTCAGGAGTGTAGCTGAAAAAAAATTCTCCCCATTCTGAGGATTTCTTCTGCAATCAATTCATTGTTTCCTTAGCTGTAGAAAGCTTTTCAGTTTTATGAGGTTCCACTTGTCATTATTACCCTTTATTCCTGGGCAAACAGAGAACTTTCCAAGAAGTCATCCCTATATCTTGTAGGGAAATGCCTGTGCATTCATATAGTACTTTTAGGGTTTCAGGTTTCAAATTGAGGTTTCTGATATACTTGGAGATAATTCATATGCAAGGTGAAAAATATAAGCACAATTTTATTCTTCTCCATGAGGACATTCAGTTTTCCTAGTACCTAGTACCTACATGCTGACTTTTCTACTAAATTTTTAATCCTCTTTGTCAATTATCAGATGACAGCAATTATGTGTACTCATGTCTGGTTTTCTGTTTCATTTAATTGATATAAATGGATGATTTTTCCAGTACTTTATTTTTTAATTATTATACCTCAATATTGAGTATTAGTTTTTGTTGTTCAGGATTTCTTTTTTGTACCATATGAATTATAGGACATTTTTATCTACTGCTTTAAAAATATTGTGATGATTAGTGTTGCACTGAATAAGTAAATTCATTTGATAGAATGGTAAGTTTTTGCAATATTAATTCTACCAATTCATAAGCATTTGGTGTCTTTCTATTTTTTAGTGTCTCAACCTCTGTCTTAAGGTATTTAAAGTTTTCCTCGAGGATATATTGCACTTCATTGGCTAGGTTTATTCCAAAGTAAATTGTTGTCTTTGATATTATTGCAAATGAGAATATGTCCATGACCTCTTTCTCAGTGTGTTTGGTGGTGGTGTATAGAAAGGCTATTAGTGTTCTCAAATTGTTTCTGTACCCTGCCTCTTTGCTGAAATGGTTGATTGATCCTAGAAGTTTTCTGGTAGACTTTTTCAACTCTTTTGTGTATAATATCACATCATGTGCAAATAAGAATAGCTTTTCTTTCCTTTGTCTTTTCATATCCCTTTAATTTCCACACAGTTTTCCTTGAACAATATCAAAAGTTCATTTCTCAAGCATCTAAAAAGGATGAGAGCTGTGATAGATAACCACAGACCTCAGCATCTCAGTGTCAAGGGGCTGTCAGCCTTGGATATCATAGAACTGTTTGTGAAATTTCTGTAGAACCTTATGAGGTTAGACTTAATTCCCTATTTGGACATCATGTCATCATGAGCTCCATAATATTTGTTCTACAATAAATGTGAAAATGGGTCACTTTTTACTTCATGTTTTCAGTTCATAAGCACAATAATATTTGTTCTATGTAAGAGTGAAAAATGAGTCAAAGGAAAAAAAACACATTAATTAAAATAATGACAGGTAGATGACTCCTGCTGTTTCTTATAATAATTACTATTTGATTACTGCTTCATTTTGGAAAATTTAGCTATAAAATAAGCCACATTCACTTTCAACTTGTATCTAGCAAACTAAATATTTGAATTATACACAGGAAGGTATTTGAACTGGAAAGTGAATCATAACTAAATTTGAAAATATAAAATGTCAGTTTAATCATCATCTACATAGCTGCATCAATGATATTTTGAAATCACTTTTGTTACTGGTTGACCAACACATATTTTTTTGTTTGTTTGTCTGTTTTGTTTGTTTGTTTGTTTTTTGTTTTTTTGAGACAGGGTTTCTCTGTGGCTTTGGAGGAGGCTGTCCTGGAACTAGCCCTTGTAGACCAGGCTGGCCTTGAACTCACAGAGATCCCCCTGCCTCTGCCTCCTGAGTTCTGGGATTAAAGGCACATACCATCACCGCCTGGGTGACCAACACATATTTTAAAGGAAAACCAGAAATATAATTAGCACCTTTAATATTCAAGTCTATACATGACTCAGATACTAGCAACTTGTATACTTCAGATAGCTTTAGACTGAATTGCTCACCCTCTGTTTTCATATCTGTAAAATGAGGGAGGAAATGAAAGGAAAACAGAACCAAACATTGAATAAATATAACCTAGGAAAGTGTTGTAGATGAATTGTAAATTGAATATATTTTATGTCTAAATATTAAATGATTAAATTATATCAATTTTCATTTAAAAACTAATTTCTAGGATTGGTGATAATTTTCTTGGTGCTTTTGCTCATTTATAGAACACAACACTTCTACACTTCTTAGAACTGAGGGCAAAACAATGTTATGATTTAACAATGACAAGGGTACATGCAAGATATTTTTGTAAATTAGCAACTAGAAACATTTATTTTTTTACTTGAAAATGGGACAGATATTGATTTCAAAATGTTCTCAGAAACTTAGTAAAGTTGGTCAAAACATTAAATTCACTTCAAGTGTTTCTACATTGAAATGTATAGGCAATCTGTTAGTAAACATAAAATATAATCTTAGTAGATTTTTTTCATTTTCTATTAAAAATAATTTATTTTTTATTTTACATACCAACACCAGTTCCCCCTCCTTCCCCTTATCCAGCCTTCCCCCCTTTCCAACCCCATATCTAGTCCACTGAGGGGGTAAAGCCTTCCTTGGGAAGCCACAAAAATCTGGCACATCAAGTTGAGGCAGTTCTGAGCCCTTCCCCCCCTGTATTAAAGCTGAGCAAGGTATCCTACCATAGGGAGTCAGATACAGAAAGCCAGTTCTTGCTCCTGGGATAGGTCCTGGTGCCGTTGCCAGGCTACCACCCCCCCAAAAAAGATTAAGTCTCATAACTGACATCCACATTCAGAGGGTCTAATTTGATCCCATGCAGGTTCTGTAGCTGTCACTTAGTCCATGAGCTCCCTTTAGCTTTTGTCAATTGTCTCTGTGGCTTTCCCTAAGGTAGTCATATGATCCTGCCTCCCTATCTTCATCTGAACTCCAGGAGCCCTGTCCAATGTTCAGTTACTAGATCTAGGTCCTGTGATGACAATTAGGGTAGTCACTAATCTGATTAAAGTAAAGCCTCCTCATTATTGCTAGGAATTTTAGCAAGGGTCATCTTTGTGGATTCCTGAGAATGGCTCACCCATTAAAGGCTAGGATCATAACCAAAAATATCAGTAGATTTTCTTGATCCCAGTAAGCTAAGCATGATTTCCTTCCAGATTCTTAGAGCTCCCAGACTTATAGTTTCTCCTTTCCTTTGAATTTCTGTTCCTGCTTCCTACCTAGGCAAATAGGACAGAGGAAGACATGACAATAGCTGTTCCATGAAAACAAGTCCTGGAGCTCTAAAGACTTCCATGAAATCCCAGGGTTTCTCCATAACACACTTATATAGACATTAATCTGACATTTGTGTGTAATAGATATTTTGTTTAAGGATTTGAAAGATCACAAATTACCCCCCAAATATATATAGATATAGATATAGATACAGATATAGATATAGATATAGATGTGTGTGTGTGTGTGAATGTATATATACACACATATATATGTATATGATTAAAACTATAGAAATATGGAAATTTGACCATATTATATGATCAAATGAAGAATTTCCAAAGCAAAACTTGAAATGAAAAAGATGTTTGATTTTTGTCAATTATAGGGAGATAAGTAATTACCTGAAGTGATCATGATGGATTTGCTGAAATGTGAAGCTATTGCTAAAGCTTAGTTACAGAAAATAGAGAACATATAAAATTTAATATCACTGCTTTGTTTTTGATTGTTACACAATTAGTTATTCTTCATTGTGGTTCAAATTTACTCCATCTAATTAAAGAGCAATCAGAAAGTGTACACAGGGCCATTGTATTTGAATGAGTCTTTTTTGGAGTCTTAAAAGAAACCTGGAAGCTATTTCCAAAGCCAATACATAATTCTTACTACTTAGACTTCTGCAGGGTCATAGACTAAAAAGAAAATGTTATAAAACATCACATTCTTGTGTCTCTACAGATGTTTCTATTTTTAATAACATTTTAATTGTCCTTACAATTTTCACTTTGATCAGTTTGATGTTTTGGACCAATTGGAATGAACAGCATCCCAGTATCATGAGAGCCACATTGACTGGGAAGAATCCCCATGTGATAGTCAGCACAGATATACTCACTCCAAATGGACTCACCATTGACCACCGTGCAGAGAAGCTCTATTTCTCAGAGGGCAGCTTGGGCAAAATTGAAAGATGTGAATACGATGGATCCCAAAGACATGTAAGTTAAATGGGTGCTTCTATACTCCTACTTTATGTAATAACTTTGAAAATATGTTTCATCCTTCTCTAGCATACACCTATCAAGAAATTTCAAAAGGGCTATTGTATGAACTTCTTTGATTGAATAATCTATTCAGCACACAAACAGTCTGGGTATTTTGAAAACCTCCTGAAATGCATTTGCTGCAATAAGAAAAGCTGCATAACTTTTATTCTCAGAACACAAATTATAGATTTGTTTCTTGTTTTAATTTGAATTGAACTTAAGTGGTTTATATGTTTTTGTTGTAATTTATAATGTTTTAATATGTGAAACTACATTAATTTTCCTGAAGGGAGGGAAGTCATAAAAAAAAGTCACTGTGTGAAAGCCACTTAGGAATCTTGGAAGACAGGAACATGTGATTATATTTACAGAAAGGCCTATCATACTCAATGAGGCCCTAGTGTCTTTTCTTTTACTGCCATATGAAATCTTAGTGGAGAAATCGTTATTCTGTCTCTAGAATAATCCTCAAAGTAGGTACATAATCCTACATCAATGTGTCATTTATCTCTTCCGGGACAAGTGTCAGCACTGGAGATAGTGAAATTTCAACAGTTGAAAGGCTATTCCTGACTGGTCAGACAACTGGGGCAATCTTGTCCCACCTACCAACCCATTATCTGTCAGAAGTACAAAATCCCCAGGTCTCAGCCCTCTGATACCTTGAGGAAGGTCTGAGAAGGGAGGAAAATACCTTCTTGTAGGCCAGATCATACATGTTGGAAACTGCATAAACTAAATGTTCTGTGAGGTGACTACTGACCCTTACAGTGCTGAAGCAGACAGAAAAATGGAGAAAGTAGAATGGGTCCAGTTCGTGTAAAGCTTTATTTATAGAAAAAGACCAACCAACTGACCAAAATTGAATTTTGAATTTATAGGATCAAGCAAGATAAGGTGGTATTTTTGTGTTTGCTTGTCTTTGCCTTTGTTTCATAACATAGGATCTAGTTATGGGACTTGGGCTAGTATGGAATTCTTGGGTTCAAACAATCCTTCAAGCTTAAGTCTTCCAGTAAATAGGACACCAAACATGCACCACTATGAAGGAAGTTATGGGGTCCATGCGATGATGTGTGGAGTGCACTGTGTGAGTTTCTTGAAGATGAAGGAAATGCACTGACTCACATTTGGGTACCTCATATTTTCCTCATGTGGCTTAAATGATGGGGAGAGATGAAAGTTGAGTGCTTAAATGACATTAAAATAATGGGCTCAGCCATGATTATATTAAATTTGTGTTAAAGTCAGTAACCTTGATCAAGAATGATATGCCTAAATTATTCATCCACCTTTTAAACTTAATGGTCATGAGACTTAGGCAAATTGCTTAGCTTTTAAAGACTGAAGCTTTAATGTGCAAATTTTCAATCTGTCAAAAGTATTGTGGAGATAAATTAGAATTTCACATAGAAATTCTAACTGGTGAGATCAGTTAATACTTTGGAAAACACAGTCAGGTAAGTCAATATACTCTGTGTAGTTCTATTTTCTATTATATACTAATACAGATAATGCCTTTGTAGCTTATCATAAAACCCTTAACTCCTGCCAATTCACATTTCTATCCATCGACTCTGTTTTCCAAGTCTTACTCGTGGTAAGTATAAATAATATGGGAGACATAGGAAGAGGATGCTGTTAGTGAAAGATAATGTACTTTTTAGTTATATGAAAATTTTACTTAATGTGACTATATCTTTGTACTCCTTGATGATGTTCAAACCATGATTATTTCAGACTGGGTCAAAATCTATTTTATTATTTTGTCTTACAGTTTGTGGGTTTGTACATTTAATAACCGTTAAATTAGCTATTCATTAATCAAAGCCTGATACACCTGGGGTGCAATGTATACCTGTGCTCACATGCAATGATCAGTGTATGGTGTACCAAACATAGACTTTTTCTTTGTTGGAAGGACATTCAAAAACCTTCTGCTTAGTTATCATAAATGTAAATATAATGTTATTAATGATAATCATATCCTTAGAGTTGCAGGATGTTTACCTCCTACTACATAATTTAGTACCCTTGATGACCAACTTTTCCACAAGCCCTTAAATTCCTCAGCCTCTATTATCTGTCTTTCTCAAAGATCACCTTGCTTGGATTTCTCAAAAGAGTATTATAGTGTAGCAGTTTTCTTCTTCTCCTGGTCTATTTCACTTAACATAATGCTCTCCCAATACCTCTTTGTTGCTCCATAATTTTATCATTTGTTCCCAAATAACATTTCAGAGTGATATAATTACTATGTTTTCTTTTTCTGTTTATCAGTTGAGACTCTTAGATATTTGTATTTATTTTTTTCTCTTGACTAAATGATCACACTAGTCATGGAAGGCACATATCACTTAGATATAAGAATTTCATTCCCATTGAGTATATAATTAGCACTGGGATTTCTAGGTCATTAGTTGCTTGAGTTTTGACTAGTTCCAGAATGTCTATATACAAGCAACCCACACACATGCAAACTCACTCTCTTTGATAACTGACAGTTAAATTGGGGTGATATGGTAACTTATTGTAATTTTGATTTATATTTTCTGGATGATTAGCAATTTGGTTTATTTCTTTGTATACCTCTTGGGAAGCTTTGTTTGCTGACAAACATCTGCACAGGTCTTTTGTTCATTTTTAAAATTGGAACAGATATTAACTCTTGAGTTGTGGTCCTTATAAATTCTAAATCTGAACTCTGACAGACATATAGGTTACATATACCACCATTGATTCTCAGGTCAAACCTTTAGTCTCTTAGCTGATTACAAATTGGGCAAAAAAATTGTAATTTAGAGTAATATCATTTATCTCCTTTTCATGTGTTCTTAAAAAATGCAAGTTTAAAAATGTAAGAAAAAAATTTCTGTGTTTTAATCCAGTATTTAGTGCCTTTTGAGTTAATTTTGAAAACAGTGTGAGAGATAAAGATCTCATTTTATTTCCATCACAGTGATGTGCAGCTTTTTTAGTACTGCTTATTGAAGAGGCCATTCTCAACCCAGCATGTGTTCTTGATACTTTTGTTAAAACTCAGCTGCCTAGGTTGTTTGTTCAAATGTATCTGCTGTATCTGGGGCTATTCTGAAGTGGTTTAAATAGAAGTAGCATCACTGATGAAGTAAGAAACAAGTGATCTTTTTCAAGCTAGTAATGAGACCCAGAAATCTACAGTTTTGGTGAATGTTACCTGCATCCAGGTCTATTGGGTTTTAGAGAGTTGTAATATATGTAGCTGTTTTGCTTAGGATATATCTGAAAGAGCATCCATTGTCTGAATACTGTGGACTTCAAACAGTCAGGTAGGTGGAGAAATTGATACAGGTGGGAAGGGAAATGAAATAATAAACTTAGTAGTCACTGTTTGGTCCCTGTAAAGAAGTTCATGTTTGTACAACAAGCTAACTGTCTGGAAAAAAGACGTAAATCGATGTTCCAGAAGAAGAAATCTCCTGAATTGCGGAGGCAATAGGAATATTAGAAGATTTAGAAGACATGAAAAAAATATGTGGACCAATATACCAGTTTTCCTGGGCAATAACCTCATTTTCTCAAACAGTATTTTCCAGAGAGGGAAGCCTAAGTCCTAAATAAGGCTTTAAAAGTATGAGAGTATATAATAGTCACTGAGTCGTAAGAGTTTAACTTTGAAATACTTTTGGGGCACAGACAGGATCATGAGATGAGTCAAGTTTCAATTAGAATAAGGTGATACCAGGTACCAGAGATAAAAGAAGAACAGCACATCCAGATGAAAATGACAGTACTTATTACCTGTAGAGGACAGACAGCCAAGAGATTTATGAGGAAGAAAGGGAAGAGATTTTTCCATTTGGCTGCAGGGTTTTTTTTCATTGGCTATTGTATTAATGTGGGGTGGACAAATCTGGGTTATAGTAATGGGTAGAAGGTGAATGAAGAAGAGTATAGCTGCAAAGAAAGGAAAGTAGTTTTCCTAAGAATGTGGCATAGGCTAAAGAATTGAAGAAGTGGGATATGCAAAAGAGAGCCTGTAAGGTGATGAGAATCTGGTAGTTACTCGTATAAAAGAAGTTGCATAGATTTAATAAAGTTATTATTATGGAGCTATGTCATGGAAGTGGGCTGGGTTATCATTTGAAATATGCCTTCTTATCTGAGAACTGAAGGAAAACAATTGGTCAGAATTCCAGTATTAGAAAGAAGTGTTCAGTGGGTAGAAAAGAAGGAGGCATTTCTCAAGGTCATTAAGGGGAAAAGGATCATGAAGGGAATTACTGAGTAGGGAAGGTAAAGTTTTAAGGGTTAGTCTCTTCAAGTAGATAGAGGGGTTAATATTATTTCCAGAGATTACTGGGTTTTTGAAGACATGCAAATCCAAGAAAAAGGAAAGGTTGGTATCATGGAAGTGACAAGTGACTGAGGATTATAAGAAATGTTCATTGATCAGAATGGGGCAATTAGTGGAGAAAAAGGAAGAAACAGAGTACCCAAATGCATATCATGGTACTTTAGCAGTGGCTGGGAATGATGAGAGGCACAGAGTGGCTGCTCTCAAGGATTTGCAAGTGAAGTCTGATGCTTCTTTAGTTCAGACATGGCCACTCCAGGTGGTCGTGATCATTCACCATTCACGGAGAGGCTACATTTGTGTGAGTGGAGGTTGAAGGAGGAGGAGGGCCATCAGAAGAGTTTTAGAGTTGAGGTCTTATAGCCTCTGAGCATACAGAGCTGTAGCCTGCTAGAGATGTCTTTTATTTGTGCTGTTGCAAGTACCTGGAGGAGGTCTGTATCGAATTTTGCTCAAGGGGTTGGGAAGAATCTTAAATGTAAATACAGTTGCCCAGGTGGATATGTAAAGATACTGCAGGATATGACTGAGGTATAGGAAGGTCCTTGATTTTAGAGTATGACTGATTACATGTAAAGAGGAAGGGGGATATACATTAGGTAAGGAGATGAGGTAT